GTTGGTGTAATGGCTATGTCGCTGGACTCCCACGTAGTTGACCGCGGTTCGTGTCCTGGACCCGGTGGCTTAAAACTCACACCGGGCGCGTGTGCAAGCGTGCCCAAGATCCCGAGAGAAGAATGGAGGAGAAGGGATTGCGGCGTGGCCATCTCCCCTGGGGGGTCATTTCTCGCTTTCTGTCTCTGTCTGTCTGGCGAGCGCACGTGCCCTATAGCAAAACGCAAAAACCTCCCCAAAAAAAAAAAAATATATATATATATATATTTCTTATTGGGGACCAGCAGGTGGCATGGTGGTTAAGGCACTGTACTCCTATATGGCCAAATGCAATTTGAGTTCCGGACCTGGTGGATTGAAAATCACACTAGGTGCATGTGCGTGCATGCCCCAAATCCCAGGAGGAGAGTGGAAGAGAAGGGGTTGTGACATGGCCTTTGCCTCCTGGGGGTTCAATTCTCACTTTCCCTATCACTGAATTTTTCTCTACCTCTGGTGAGTGCGTGTGCCCTATAGCAAAAACCTATAAAAAAATTAAATAAAAAACTCTTATTGAAATGTAATATATAAATAAAAAAGTGCATATATCCAAAATGCATGATATATTTTGGTGTACAAAATACACTGATGTCTTTTCACAAACTGAACATATTTGTTAATCAGTACTTAGACTGAAGATGATCTTTTCAGTAAATCATGAACATGTACCTTGACTTTTATCCTACACCACATACAAAAATCAATTCCACAAGGACTGTGGATCTAAATGTGAATGCTGAACAAACGAGGAAAACATCTTTGAAATCTTGGAGTGGGCACAAATTTCTTAAAGAGGACATAAAAATGCCCTCAGTAAAGGAAAAAATGGACTGATTTGGCTATATGAAAATAGAGTATTTCTGTAATGAAAAGATACCACAGGGTCCAGCAGGTGGTGTGGTGGTTAAGGCACTGGACTCCCACATACCAACTGTGCTGCAATCCCAGAACTGGTGGCTTGAAAATCACACCAGGCATGTTTGGGTGTGTCCCCAAAATCCTAAGAGAGGGATGGAGGAGAAAATTCTGAAGCATGGCTATCACTCCTTGGAGGATGATTTCTTCCTTTTCGTCTCACTATCTCTCTCTGTCTCTCTCCATGAGCACATGTGTCCTACGGCAAAAATCTACAAAAAAACAAAAACCAAAAACCATTAAGAGAGTGAAACCGAAGGTACTTTCGAGATACAGTTTTTATAGAAACTAGAAAATGATGGTGTTTGTAGGAAGACCTACTGCCAGTTACCCTTCTTTACAAACTTAGGAGCGTCTTGATGTTTCTAATCCAGCACCTAGACTTCCCCCAGTTACTAACGAGTCAGGCTAATATGGAGAATGGGCTTGCCCCTTGCATACAGCTCAATGGGAATGACAGATCTCGCAGGTGGGCTTTCATGGGGGTCCGAAAGCTACCCCCTCCTCAGAGATCAGGAGAAATGACAGACACCAGAGAAAGGTAATGGGGATCACCTGGTAACCCGGGGGGTCTACACTTGACTTCTCTGGTATGAACGACCTGAAATTCACCGAGGTCCCAGGGAGCCTTTCCCCCCGCAGCCCTTGGGCCGCAATGCCGGCTCACCTGGACGCTCACACTGCCCTGGAGCTTGAGCTGCAGCTTGATCATGTCCACTTCGGCCGAGGAGCACAGCTGCCGCAGCTCGGCCACCTTCTTACTCATCTCATCAATGGCCACCTCGATGGGGTTCAGGTCCGTGTGGTGCTGGTACATGACAGGGATTCGCTTCTTCACGTACGGGAAGCAGTGTATTGCTGCAGAGGAACAAGGCCCAGGATTAACCCACCCTGCCTCCACTGTGCTGAGGCAGAAGTAACTGTTCTTCCCATCTTACAGACGAGGAACCTGAAGCTCGCCCAAGTCACACGCTAATACTCTGTGGCACCAGAGCAGTCTCCTTTATGACCCTGTATGTTTCATGACAGGCTGCATCATCTCAAGTCAGAGAGCTGGGTCCTTGTAATCCCTTTAATGTGAGAAGTGCGTCTTTGAGGAAATCATTTTATCATCCCTTGCTCAGTGTTCTCATCCATAAATGCCCTACCCTCCTTGGAAGTTGTGAGATCTGAATGCATTAGCAGATATAAGACGGCTTTGAAAACATAAAAAAAAAAGATGAAACAATGTTAATACATTATATAAGAGATCAAGTCTAGAAAATAGCTCCATAAAAATATCCTTGAGAATTTTTTCTATAATAAACTTTGCAGTACATAATTAAATTTTCCCAAGTCTGAGAATCAATGAAAAATAACAGATGAGGATGTATTCCCAGCAAAGTATTTCATTAGCCAGAAACTGACAAACTATTGGAGCTGTACTAATAACAGTATTCTGACACCTACAGCAATAAATAAGAAATACATTAATAATAAGAATACTTTTTCTTATACTTTTTTTTTACAAAAAGCAAATTAATGCTGTTTTCATTTATCATAAGTAAATATAAAGATAACAAAGAGTTTAAAAACAAACAGAAAAACAGTTGGTTCTAATTTGATTTTCTTCACTTTTCTAACTTGTTGCTCTCTATGCTACTATAGAAATATCTATAATATTTTCAGTTAATACTTATTTATTAATAGGTCAATATGCACTTATGAGCTTATTTTATTTATTTATTTTTCTAGGTTTTTTTTGTCATAGGTTATGTGTGCTCACCAGAGAGAGACAGTGACAAAGAACATGAAAAAATCACCCCCAGGAGGAGGGCCATGCCACAGTCCCTTCTCCTCTATTCTCTTCCCAGGATGTTGGGCATGCACGCACACGTGCCTAGTGGGAGATTCAAGCTGCTGGATCTGGAACCCAAATCCCCATCAGCCGTGTGTGAATCCAGCACCCCAACAACCACACCAGTTGCTGGTCCCAAGCTTATTTTATTTTTAACAAGTAAAAGTAAGATGATAGTTATATCTGGATTCATTACTCTGTAGTAATTCACTGAGGAGAGTTTACTTAGGAAGGACTTATCGAGAATGTGAAATAGGGTCAATGCCCATAAAACAGAGTTCTGACGTGCCAAGGAATATTTGGACAAAGCTGGAAAACATGCTCTGCCTGAGGCAACCTCATCTGTCACACACAGACCTGTCCTATTCTCAAACCGGTTAGCAGTCTGAGGTCAAGGCAAGGGTTCCTATCTTGGGTTTCTTTTGCATTCCAGCAGGTCCGCAGGATTTTTTTAAAAAAATTTTTATTGAACCATATTTATTTTATTTATTTATTTTAACTTGATCAGAGAGGGACAGAGTAAAAGAGAAAGAGAGAGAGAGAAAAAGTGAGAAAGCAAATTGCCAGATCTGGGACTTGAACTGCGGTCAACCACGTGGGAGTCCAGCACCCCTAACCACACCACCTGCTGGTCGAGGCCCACAGCACCAGGACTGATAAAATCTCTTTGGCCA